GAAAAGGATGTTTTCCACACTGAAACGTTGAAATAGGGGCAAAAATGCAAAAAAATGAAACGTTGGGACGTTTTGCACACTAACTATCAAACGTAGGGACGTTTTGTGCTAATAAGCCTTTCCAAAATGGTTAAGGAAGTGAATTTTCATGATGGAAACTTAGGTTCAAATCCTTGGCATTGCAAGTTGTAAATAAAATTTTACACTTCACTTTATTGAAAAAACATTGAACCGGTTCTGATTTTCTCTCAAACCCATCTGAACCGGACAATTATTGAATGATCGACTAGTTCTTAACCGGTTCCTCTATCAATTTGACCAAGTAATGCAATCGGACCGATCCATTAGCCGGTTCGGCGATTCTTGGGTCAGACCAACCGGTCCAATTCGATTTTTATAGCAATGATATTACAATATTGCTATATTGTCAGGAAGGGTTTTCCGACAGCATACTCATAAAGGAAAAAAGCTTCATTTTTTTTCCCTTTTCTCATAAACATGGGTTCCTCGTGTATGTCAAATTGTCAATGTGTCATTTTTTGTTTGATGAAGAAGCTTAATTCATTATATCATGGAGCGTGTACTAGACTTTTTATGATTAAAATATTTGTTTTTCCTTCAATACTATTATACGCATTCGAAGTCAACTACACTGAAGCAGGCCATTTTTTGGCAGACAAAAACCATTAAAAAAGCTGAAGTTTTTGGATGCTGGGAGAAATTCTTCAATTGTTTTGAGCTTGGGAATTGAATTATGATAAGATAAAAGCTTAATCTGCTTCCTCTTGAACCTCTTCGACAGCAAGTTAGAAGGTATTATGGGTCCCCCGAGGCATAACTTAGTGGTGCAAAGGACATGAGTGAGCTAATCTCAAGTCTCAGTTGAGCTGGCAATTGCAGTGTGAGGGTTCGATTCTTCCCTCTTACAAGATATGGAATTGGACTCTTTGTGGGTATCAGTATAACAGCTCTTATACCATAATCTGCGGCTGAGACACATCTTGCGATTTACCACATCCACAATGCTCTAGGGGACCTTTTTTTTTAGAAGGTATTATGGAATAAATTCATCAATGATCACTCAAGTGTCATCATGACCATCAACTTAATTTTGTTTTACTATGACTATCCAATTTTATATTTAACCTCACATAGTCACCAAATTTGATTTTATTTTATCATTATCACCTAATTTCATATAACATTTCACCATGTCCATCCAATTTCTTTTCACCATTTTCACTAATTTTAAAAAGGGAGATTTTCCAAAATAGCCGGGTCAAATGGCCCATTTAAGTTTTTTGTAAAAAGTCAATTTTGCCCTTAATGAAATGGTTTTTTTATTGCAAATCATGTCCTCAAACTTTATGGTTTTTTAGAAGTTAGTTTTATTCTTATATTTATTCGTCATCACTTGATGTTTCTTCTAAATCTGATTT